GCAAACAGATACATAATAGCGCTCATTCCTCTGAGTAGTACTTGACTTCAGGATAGTAAGTACTGCTCCCCATAGTGAGAGTTTGCAGGATAAATCCCTTGGAAGGCAGAAAATCTGTTTGTTTGCTCTGTAAAGTGCCATGCATGTTTAGGTTACATCAGTGACCATAAGGCCTCTTTTCCTTCCCAGCTTATGTATTATGGACCCTTCTATATTGAGTGATTTTGGTTTTCCATTTTCTCCTGTTCCCTGGATACTTTTCTAGGCCCTGTCCTTTCCTCCAGTGTTCAGGGAAATAATGCCTGTCTACAGTTTCCCATTATTTTGCTGATATTATTAGTGATAGATCTGCCTTCTCCCTACGGCCCTGATCCTCCAGCGTTTTCTGATTGACATTTCATTATTTAATTGCACAGGTGAGAAAGCAGCTCCTCATGTCTTTTTCTCAAAATACAAAATGAAACTAATTGTTGCTTAGCCACAAGGAGCAGTGGATTGGGACTAGCAACTAAGAACGGGCTGGGGGAGGGGAAGCCTGACCTGAGGGTAGAGCAGAATGGAATGGGAAGGAAATATACAAAAAGGCCAGATGTATAGAGGGGAGAGATTGAAAAAGCCCATTTTTCATCATTCACCTACTGAATTAAAACCTTTAAAACATTTTTGCTATTAAATAAATTTAGAAAATCCCAAATTGTGTACATTTCAGAGGTGGCTGGTTTACTTAAATCTGGTCTCCTATATTCATGTTTACACTTATTTGGATGATGATGTAGTCTATGGTATGCAGAAAACATCCACATTGTGTACTAATGCCAGTTAACCTCACAGGGTCTGCCTGTCTTGTCCCTTACACTGGTAACTTTATTGACTTCAATAGAGCTATTCCTGATTTAAACACATCTATATGAGAGGTGAGCCAGTCTCACGTTCTGCTTTAACCAATCACAATTCAAAAATGTTTAAGCCATTTTCCTTCTTTTGCTAATCCCACCGCAGGGGCTGTCAGGTGGTTGTTTCATTAATATCAGTATTATCCTGTACTATAAAGTTCCAGGAGCACATTCTCAGGGGTCAGATTAGAGTTGGGCATATGTGGGTAAATCATAACTATATGTCTTACCACTAGAAACTGAACAGAAGAAGAGTTGGAGCGGGAGGGGAGACAACCATAACAATTTTCTAATTTGAATGCTGGATACTCTGGACTCAGTCCACTTTTTCACTGGTGTAAATTAAGTCTACTGGATTTACTCTTGATTTACACAAGTGTAACTGAAAGCAGAATTTGGCCTACTGTCTCATCAAATATACCTGTCATGGCTGCAGGAGAAAAGGAGAGAAATAGAAGAGGAGGACAATAGCTTCATCCCTAAACCTTTAGGGGAACTGGAGTTGGGCCCCAGTTGCAAAGTTTGAATCTCTGGATTTGGATCCAAATTTCCCTAAATATTGTATCTGTTCAGACTTGGGAGCTTTGGTTTTGAACAATATACGGACTGGGGCCAACCATAAAATTCAAATCTAGATGTGAACTTCCTCAGGGCTCCCAGGTGCTAGACATGGGCAAGGTGGAAGGATCCTCACAGCTTGTCCTGGAATCCCAAGGCTTTCATTTTTAGTTCCCCTCTCTACTTGTAAGGGTCTGTATCCTGACAACTTTCCTTACAACAGATGAGGGCTGAAACCCACTTCATCTGGTACACAGAAAGCCAATTTCTGCATAACAACATGGATATGCTAAGAACCTCTCCACTCTGCCTCTGCAACAGCAATAGTATAGCATGCAAGATTCCCTTGCTTTTCTACAGCGACTATTAAACTCATTCCCCAAGCTGGGCATATTCCTGCAGCCCACCACTGATGAGGATGGTGCACAGAAATACATACAAAATCTATTTGCCTTGTCCTTTGCTACAAACAAGCAAAGTAGTGTGGGGTCTCCTCTCTTCTCTATAAACATATGTAATTCCCACTGACACCAATGGAATGTGCATAAGAAGGGGAGAGAGTCCTGCTTTGGCCCAATGGAGGTGAATCAATAGAAAATGGAATTTAATAATGAGCTTAAAAACAACTACAACAAAGAAATCCTAACTATTTAGGACATGTGACATTCTGCAGTAATACAGTTTGTCACCTGACAGCATTTCCCAAAGTGTCTGTGCACAGTGGGTGAAATTTTCTAATCCTACATAAAACCCAAGCACAATGGTCATACTTAAAAACTTGTCTGTTGTCTTGGATAACCATCAGCAGTAGCCGTTTTCTCTAGGTCAGTGGATAGATTATTATTTGTATTATAGTAGTGCCTACACTAGAGGCCTCAACTGAGATCAGAGCCCCATTGTGCTAGGTGCAGTATATACACATAATGAAAAACACATCTTGCCCCAGAGAATTGCAGCCTAAATAGACAAGACAGACAAAGGCTGGAAGAAGGGGTATCCCCACTTCGCAGCTGGGGAACTGAGATTCAAGGAGATTAAGTGACTTATCCAAAGTCTTACAAAGAGTGTGCCGTAGAGCTGGGAACTGGACCCTTATCTCCTGAGTTCCAGTCCAGTGACTTAGTCATAAGAGCTGCAGCCTCTTTAGTGTGGTTTGCAGTATTCACTATACAAAGTACAGGGAGTTTCTAAGGAATACTGCAAATAGATTCCAAGGCCAGAAGAGACCATTGTGAATATCTACTCTGACGTCTTGTATAACACAGGCCAAGGAACTTCCACAAAATAATGCCTAAAGCAGATCTTTTAGAAAAATATCCAATCCTGATTTTAAAATTGCCAGTGATGAATAATTGGTAAATTGTTCTAATGGTTAATTACTCTCACCATTAAAAATGTACACCTTATTTCCACTCTGAATTTGTCTCTAGCTTCAACTTCCAGCCATTGGATTGTGTTATACCTTCATCTGCTAGTCTGAAGAGCCCATTATCAAATGTGTATTCTCCGTGTTGGTATTTATAGACTGTGATCAAGTCACCTCTTAGCCTTCTCTTTGTTAAGCTAAATAGACTGAGCTCCTTGAGTCTATACTAAATCCTGAGGTAATGTTATCCCAGGCAAGACTGATTTTAAGTGTGACCACTGTTCTTGGGCTATGTGCTACTTTCGAAAAAAATCATACCACCACAATGTGGGGGCAAACCATAGCGTGGCTGCTACTCCCCCTGTGTGCATGTGTGAGGGGGGCCCTGGTTACTAGATATGCATCAGTATAGAAGTGGCTCCTTCCCTTGTCTGCCCCCTAAGCCCTTCTCAGTGATGGGATGGCCTCAGATAGCATAGAGCCCTCTGCTCCAGTGTAAGGAGGATAGAGAGGCCCCCACCTGTGTGGCTTCTCTACCCATGACCTGTTTCCTCTGACAAGAATACCACAGGAATTATGTGGCCCAGAAGGAGCCTTCCATCAATGGGTACATTTCACCAAGTGGGCCTAATCCACAATAATAAGACATGTCTGTTACTTTAGTATCTAACATTCTCTGAAAAGTATACCATCCAATATTATTTTTAATATGCTTCATCTCCCTTGTCCCAGGCAACTAGTAGGGAATTTAGGTGGAAGAGAGACAGTCTGCCACCACTTACAAGCCCCTCTCACACTGTATCCTCCTATCTCCCAGTATATTTAAGCAAGATTTTTAAAATTGCCGTTCAGGCTAAAAATTATATTGAGCTCTTACATAGACCTCCTGTTTTTAACCGTCAAAGTTCTTTTCGTGCATTATCTTCAGCACACCTCCATGAGGCCAGTGCCACCATCCTTGTGTTACAGATGGGGAAACTAAGGCACAGAGGCCGAGTGACTCAGTAACTGCCCTACTGTAAGTGAAGTCATCAGAAGCAAGCTGTGCTCACTTACTATTCAGTGAACAAACACAGAAATGACAAACTCATTTCCTGAAGCTGAAACCATGTTTGTTCTTGTACTTACTTACTAGTGAATGGAGTGCTGTCAAAAGATGCTAAAATCCTCCAAGCAATACACCAGCTCTGGAGCAGTGAGTGCCTGTGGAAGTATAACTTCACCTGGCATCAACAGAGCAGCCATGACATGTTTCAATCTTTCCGTACAAAATCTACTGAGAAACTCTTTCACTTTTTCAAGATACAAAGCGTGTGTTGTTACCTATCTCTCTCTTACAGTCCAGGCATGTTACTGGGACCTGATAAAAACACAATACTGATTATTTAACAACTTTAAACCATATTCATTTTTTTAACATTCCTTCTACGACATGACTTTTCTTTCATGGACATAATACATGCAATATGTGTTTGCATATAACCTCCTCTCTGAAACATGTCTTCCTGTTGAGATGATCCTATGTCTGTGACATGGTTTCATTTAGCTGCCAGTCCATTTGCAAAATGACTCTCTCGGAAATAATTCCCATAAAAGCAGCCTGTATTCTGCAAGGAAGAATTTAATCTCAAACCAGCTCTTCAGAATACTGATGGATTTCTGGTACTGATTTTATTATGCAAAGCATCACCTACATATTTTACATGAAATGGTTCTGAAACATTATCAAAATGAACTCCCTCTTTCTCCAGATGTAACGAACATTCCTCCCCCCGCCCCACCGTGGATTACAGCTCAGATGATGTAGACCCAGTTTCAGACCCAGACGTGAACTCCATGCAAATATATTACAGGCAAAGCTTAATTTTACCCCTACTGAAATCCACAGCCACATACGAATCAGACCCAGAACACAGACGCATGCTGACATAACAACACACACTCACAGAGGAATGAGACACACTGCCATACTCTCACATGCATAAGACACAAACAGAACATTGTCTCACTCAGCGTGTACAGCTATTCTCTACATATTCACCTAGGCAGTGAGGAAGGCACTAACCAGAGCAGACCCCAGTGAAAGAAGCATGCTGTCAGAGAACAAAGTTGTTCCTAAAATGCCTCTAACGATCTGCATTATGCTAAAGCTGAAGGGACACAAGCTCAGGTTCTTCACTCACCTCCACAAAATAAAAGCAGGGCAATAGAGTGACGCTGTCCTTGGTCACTTTGCCTTTTTGCCTCTCCTTTGCAGACATGCTGGCTAAGGGGCTGAGCTGAGCTCTTCTTTTAGGGATGGGGATGAGTGCTTCGAAGCAGGCTTCCTCTCCTCCCGCTCCGGTGCCTTGTGTGGATGTCACATGCCCCAGAGGCACCTCTGGAGAGCACAGCGTGAAGCTTCTCCCTTTGCAGCAATCCCTTGTGCCACACGCAGGCAGCCCAAAGCCTCTTCTCTGCGAGCGATCTCCTTCCTTCCCCAAAGCTGCTGTAATGGCTTCCACCCCCAGCACAGAGCCCTGGCTTTCTCTGCCCGAGGAGGATTCGCTGCACTTACAGTCCTGAAGCTTCGTACAATATTCATGGGCTTGACGTCAAGAAACCTACTCCAGGGAAAAGGAAGGGGCCCCATTATCCTATAGGAGGAGTGGAGCGTGCTCCAGTCACCTTAACCCTTTCCCTCCTGGATCTATTGGTTTTGAGTATTCAGGAAGGGCGGGAAATCAGGTGGGCAGCAGAGATGGGATCATGGGGAAGATGGGCAGGAAGGATGTAAAGTGGTAGGAGTTAGATGCAGCAGCTGAGGGGCAAGTGGGCCCTGAGATTCCTGGGGAGCAGAAGGGGAAGGTATGTAGGAAGCTCTGAAAAGGGAATGGCCAGGTGACTGTTGCTCCACCCCTCCCTCAAGTGGGACATCGGGTAGCAATGATTCCCCACCTCCTCCATTGCAGGGACAAAAGTAGCTGCAGCATGCCCCTCCTCACATGCAGGTTGTGTTGGCCTGGTTGGGAAGGCAGGAGTAATGTGAAGGTGAGTCCAGTGGTTCCTCCTCCTCCTGCCCCCTCAGCATAGGGGAAAGAGGAGGCTGCTGTGGTGGGTAACCAGCAGGTGGCAGATATGCACATCATTGGCTGGGGGAGGGGGGTCTGTGTGCTGGTTGTACAGGTCTGCCCAAGGGTGAAGGAAAGAGCTGAGGAGAAGGACCTGCAGAGCTAGTTGGCTTTTCAAGAGTAAGATCCAAAGTTGCAGCGCTCCAGAAGCATTACAATGGGGGAATTTTCAAGTGGCTGGGGCCACTTTGACAAGGTAACTGGTTTGGTGGATAGGGGGAATGTGATGGACATAATATACCTGGACTTTAGCAAGGCTTTTGACACAGTCGCACATGACATTCTGTAAGTAAGCTGGAGAAATGCAGGCTCAGTAGACTGCCATTAAGTGGATGCATACTTGATTAAATAATACTGGTCCCAGATCCCCTGTGGACCCTCACTTGAGACCTCCTTCCAGTCTGACTTCATTCATTAATAGTTACTCTATGTTTGCAGGTGTTCAACATCTTTATTAATGACCTGGATGTAGGAATAGAGGGCATACTGATCAAATTTGCGGATGACACAAAGCTGGGATGGGGGGTTGCAAACACTTTGGAGGATAGCGCTAAAAATTCAAATGGATCTTGACAAATTGGAGAACTGGGCTGTAGTTTGGAAAAGATGAGGTTAAGGGGGGGGACATGATAGCAGTCTTCAAATACTTGAAAGGCTGCCATAAAAAAGGTGGAGAAAAATTGTTCTCTCTTGCCACAGAAGGCAGGACAAGAGGCAATGGGTTCAAACTACAGCATAGCAGGTTTAGATTAAATCTCAGGAAAAACTTCCTAACTGTAAGAACAGTAGGACAATGGAACAAACTGCCTTGGGAGGTTGTGGAATCTCCTTCACTGGAGGTTTTCAAAAAGAGGCTGGATGGCCATCTGTCTTGGATGGCTTAGACCAGGGGTGGGCAAACTTTTTGGCCCGAGGGCCACATTGGAGAATAGAAAGTGTATGGAGGGCCATGAATGCTCACAAAATTGGGGTTGGGGTGTGGGAGGGAGTGTGGGCTCTGGGTTGGGGCTGGGGATGAGGAGTTTGGGGTGTAGGAGGGTGCTCTGGGCTGGGACCGAGGGGTTTGGAGGGCGGGAGGGGTATCAGGACTGGGGCAGGGGTTGGGGCATGGGGAGAGGCTCAGGGGGTGCAGGCTCCGAGTGGCGCTTACCTCAAGCAGCTCCCAGAAGCAGTGGCATGTCCCTTCTCCAGCTTCTACGCGGAGGCGTGGCCAGGTGGCTCTGTGCCCCTGCAGCTCCCATTGGAGCACGTAGGAGCTGGAGCGGGGCCATGCCGCAGCTTCCAGGAGCTGCATGGTGTGGCCCCTGACCCAGCGCCCCGGCTGGCGCTCTTGAGCAGGGCCGAGCTGTGTGGTGCAGCCCCCGACCCAGCGCCCCGGCCGGAGTGGGGCCGAGCCGCTGGTGTGGCCCCTGACCAACCGCCCCAGCCGGAGCACTGGAGCGGGGCCGAGCTGCATGGTCCGGCTCGCGGGCTGGCTTAAAACGGCTCACGGGCTGGACGCGTCCCATGGGCCGTAGATTGTCCACCCCTGGCTGAGACACAACAAATCCTGCATCTTGGCAGGGGGTTAGACCAGATGACCCTTGTGGTCCATTCTAACCCTATGGTTCTATGGTTCTAAGTTTACTTTGTGGCAGGTGTATCAGCACAAAGCAGACTCCACACCCAAGGGAATTGGAGTTACTCCTGATTCCCTCCAGTAAGAGGGATAAGAATCAGGAAAATAATATTTCAAAGTAAAAGCCACCAGGACCACTGATTAAAGTCATCAAGGGAGTTCTGGGAGGCAGGGCCTGGTACCAGTTTGATGGTTTCCATGGTACCAGTTTGATGGTTTGCACTAGTTTGCCAATTCAATTACAAAATCCCACTTTTTAAAACTGCTTTTTAAAGAGGTTTTCAACTGCAGCAGCTTTAATATATACTGTTGGAACATGTGAATCCCTGTGGCTGCTGACAGCAGACTTGCGCTCCAAAAATCTTTATTTAAGGATTTAAGATGACCTTGTCCCTAGTACAGGGAGTAGGTAATTTGTAGGGCTGTCAAACGATTAAAAAATTAATCATGATTAATCACACAATTAAAAAAATTAATTGTGATTAATTGCACCGTTAAACAATAATAGAATACCATTTATTTAAATATTTTGGGATGTTTTCTACATTTTCAAATATATTGATTTCAATTACAAGATGGAATATAAAGTGTACAGTGCTCACTTTATACTTATTTTGGATTACAAATATTTGCACTATAAAAAACAAAAGAAATAGTATTTTTCAATTCACTTAATACAAGTACTGTAGTGCAATCTTACAAATGTAGAATTATGTATAAAAAATAACTGCATTCAAAAATAAAACAATGTAAAACTTTAGCGCCTACAAGTCCACTAAGTCCTATTTCTTGTTCAACCAATCGCTCAGACAAACAAGTTCGTTTACATTTGAAGGAAATAATGCTGCCTGCTTCTTCTTCACAATGTCACCTGAAAGTTAGAACAGGCGTTCACATGGCACTGTTGTAGCTGGCGTCACAAGATATTTACATGCCAGATGCGCTAAAGATTCATATGTCTCTTCATGCTTCATCCACTATTCAGAGGACATGCATCCAGGCTGATGACAGGTTTTGCTCGATAACAATCCAAAGCAGTGCGGACCGACACATGTTCATTTTCATAATCTGAGTCAGATGCCACCAGCAGAAGATTGATTTTCTTTTTTGGCTGTTCAGGTTCTGTAGTTTCTGCATCAGAGTGTTGCTCTTTTAAGATTTCTGAAAGCAGGCTCCACACCTCGTCCCTCCCAGATTTTGGAAGGCACTTCAGATTCTTAAACCTTGGGTGGAGTGCTGTAGCTATCTTTAGAAATCTCTCATTGGTACCTTCTTTGTGTTTTGTCAAATCTGCAGCAAAAGTGTTCTTAAAAATGAACAAGTTGTGCTGAGTCATTATCCGAGACTATTATAACATGAAGTATATGTCAGAATGTGGGTAAAACAGAACAGGAGACATACAATTCTCCCCCAAGGAGTTGAGTCACAAATTTAATTAACACAATTTTTTTTAACGAGCATCATTAGCATGGAAGCATGTCCTCTGGAATGGCGGCTGAAGCATGAAGGGGCATACGAATGTTTAGTATATCTGGCATGTAAATACCTTGCAATACTGGCTATGAAAGTGCCATGCGAACACCTGTTCTCACTTTCTGGTGACATTGTAAATAAGAAGTGGGCAGCATTATCTCCCGTAAATGTAAACAAACTTGTTTGTCTTAGCGACTGGCTGAACAAGAAGTAGGACTGAGTGGACCTGTAGGCTCAAAAGTTTTACATTGTTTTGTTTTTGAGTGCCGTAATAAAAAAAATCAACATTTGTAAGTTGCATTTTCATGATAAAGAGATTGCACTTCAGTACTTGTCTGCGGTGAACTGAAAAATACTATTTCTTTTATCATTTTTCAAGTGCAAATATTTGTAATAAAAAATAATAATATAAAGCAAGCAGTGTACACTTTGTATTCTGTGTTGTAATTAAAATCAATATATTTGAAAATGTAGAAAAACATCCCAAAATATTTAATAAATTTCAATTGGTATTTTGTTGTTTAACAGTGCGATTCAAACTGCGATTAATCGTGATGAATTTTTTTAATCACGATTACTTTTTTTGAGTTAATCGCGTGAGTTAACTGTGATTAATTGACAGTCCTAGTAATTTCTTGTCTATTCTTAGGCTTCCTCTTTAGGGCTCCCTTTTTAGAGCAGAACAGCAATTCCATATTACCTCTTGTAGGCACAGAAAGTATCATTAAAACTTGATAGGGCAGATATTTGAATTACTCATCACCATTGGTTCTGTGATAGGTGCATGCCTTCCCCAAATCAGTGCTCATTAGAATATATTACCTGTAAAATGGCCATATTTATCCAAATCATGTCAGGAGTGAGGCCCTGCAACTCAGTTTGTTCAATCTCCTGGTGGCCTAACGAGTCCTGCCTGATTGGCTGATGAAGCTAGCTGGCCAGTTCTTAAGCCCAGGAGCAGCAGCAGTAGCTCATTGGCTGCTCAATGGACTTGGCTGTGGATTCTCTGTCTTCCTGTGCTTCCTTTGCTTCTGCTCTGTGCCAGTCTTGACCCTGCCCT